ATTCCACATTTAGGAATGAATGCGATCAAGCACTGAAGGGGACTCCATCATTAAATGTCATCGAGGAGGGCAAAAGAAAGGTGGCCTACAGGTAAAATCTGGATGGATGGACATATTAGCAGCAAATAAAATACTTAAAAAGGCTAAAACATAGGGGTGTAGGATGTAATTGACAACTAAGATTTGATTCTGGATTCATTTGCGCCAGGTCGAACCTTGTTGTTGGATGACGTACACAGCCCACCGTGACACACAGGCGACGCTTCACATTCTCGACGAAGCAGACATGGATACTGCAGAATGCATCGATGTTGACCTCTACAAGCGATTCGGGCTGGAGGAGGAGTATGAGATGAACCAACTCACCACATGGCAAAAACTAAAGCCCAGAATTTGGGCTGTTTTTGAAATGCCACGATCGTCGGTGGCTGCCAAGGTAATTGGATATGTAATTTGCATTTACTTTTACTTATTAAAAGACTTTTATAATTCATCATTTCCACTGTCCAAATGCATTCAAATTCAAATAAAAACAAATTAAAAACCCACTTACTTATTATGTAAAAATTCGTTCAATATAATTTGCCAACTCATAGAAGACTAATGTCATTGTGCTCTTTTGTTTAACTCTAATTGGTAGCAACATTAACGTTTGTTTGCTTTGCTACAGAGCCTGCTGCAATGGGCTGACAAAAAGCTGAATGTTGACAATCAAATGAAATTTTGGTGCTTGCATGAACAGCAAGCTTGACTTTGGTATTCGATCAGTGGTTTTGTGCTTTTGTTCTGATGCTAAGCCTTCATTTCTTACTTTTATACCATTATATCATAAATGGTGCTTCAATATTTTGGCTATTCTGAACAGGTTTGCTTTGAACACGAAACCGCAAAAATTCTCTTGCTATTTGTCACATAACCACTGAAGGAGGCGAAATATTGAAACAGAAAGGGTCGACTGGATTTGATGTTGCTAAGGAACTACTCTAAAATGACAGAAGGTTTTGCTATGGATTAAATCAATTCGAGTTTGGTCTTGTCATTGTTTACACCTAGAAGTGACCCACATCAGGTTAAAAGGATTATGCTTACACCTTCATCGGCTAGAAAGACGAAGCCGCGGATCAATTTTTAAGAATGACTAACTGACCGATTGACTCAGCACTCTCAAGAAAAAGCAATTATTCTTCTAGAATCCGGTTGTTGCACAAATGTATCAGCAGACATTACTTATGCAGCAATTCTGCGGCACTATTCAACACTACTCTAGTCCCGAAATACAGCAGCTGTGCGTTGTGGAGTCCAGAGGGAAATACGCTGTTGCAAATCACTTGCTACAGGTGGAACAATAAATAAAAAGGTGGAATCGACTAATCAGCTAGGAAAATGTCCTGTCAAATTACGGAATTACGGTAAAAAAGAAGAAGAATGAAAAGGCTATTTTATTTCTGTTTTTAGCGATCCCCGAGACAAGTTGATCCCTTGACTACGCGCAAAATAGGTAATAGTGGAACAAAATTGCCTTTTAAAAATTGGTTTGGAAGCAGGAAACACAGAACCTTATTTCAATGACTTGTAGTATTCACAGAACACATTCAAATTTTAGGGTTATTTTAGGTTCACTGAAAAGTACCTACGAAACACATATTTTGGCTCGCATACAACACCATGCGACCTAAAATAGTTTGTTGTAACATTGCCATTGTTCTACCTATTTGGTGAACTGAATGCAAAATTAAAGGCATTTAACTTACCAATAAATTCACCGCCCTTTTCAATAAATATTTCGACTGATCTAAGTCAGATCTTGCAAATTTTCTCTTAGTAGCTACTTCTTGTCCATCATCACTCGAAAAATTCATTCGTAACAAAGTTATTTCTTAATCAAGATCACATTTATTAAACCAGTTTCGTGCCGTTTATTCTGCTCTCAAGTCACCTCGAATTGTTTTGCAACGAATATCATGGATACCTTTTGAGCCTTTGGATTTGAAGCAAATTCCTTTCACGTGGCAGACAAATCCAACTCTAACGACTTTTACTGAAACAGTAATCGTTGACGGGAAGACGACAGAATGCCTTGCTAAAGATACATAATCGTTGAGCGGGAGCCAGTTTGATCTTTATAGTGCACACACCTAATATATTTGTGTTTTTTCTAAGAATTTTTAGTCTCTTAACGGTTCATTGCGTCAAGCTATGTCATAAAGCGGTTAAGCTCCAGGATCACTTAAAAACATCCACCAAAAGTTGAATGAATGAAAGAAATAGAATAGAATCTCCCTGTATCAGTACAACAAAATTCCATTGCTCATGGCCAGAGCAGTTGACAAATGCCAATATCGTTTCGGCAGTACTTTTACTGAGTTCCGCAATCTTCATATTCCTAGAGTAAATGCCTTCCTTTTTTCAAATTAAACATTCTTACCACTGATTTTTTCCATTATCTATCACCCTATTTGCTAGTAAAAGTGATGCTTAGGAAGAATTAATTTTTCTGGAAATCATTAATTTGCAGCAGTGCTGTAAAATCCGCACTATGGACAGCCATCGATATCAGATAAATTACATGAAATTAGAAAAAAATTAACTTTTACGTAAAACATTACCGTGACTTCCAAAATAAACGGCTTTCTACTTTCTGCCAAAATACTCTCATGTATATACGGATGATGGAACGATTAACGGATAAAACTACTTTTAGACTAATTTTAATTGCATCTATCCTTGTAGTGTGTGGCTTTGATTTCCGTCATTTGCGTGATCCTGTCCATCGTTGCGTACTGCTTCAAGACAGCTCCATCCTTCACGGCTCCTTCACTTCAAATTTCCACTGGACCCTTCTTCAATATCACTCTCAACGCCACAGCTCTTTCCTACTCCTCCTTCTCTACCACATCCCATTCCTTCATCTTAGCACCCTCTGATCCACTCGCTGTAATACCACATCCTGCTTTTCTCTACATCGAGCTCGTCTGCAATATCTGGTTCCTTTTCGAGTTTGTTATACGTCTGGCCGTCACTGACAGTCCGATGAGATTTCTCCGTTCCCCTCTTAATCTCATCGAAATTGCTGCAGTGATCAGTTTCTACGCCGAAGTTTTCGTAACTCTCGGTTTTGGCAATCATCACTCCTCATCATCTCCTGTGATAGCCAAATGCGCTGTGGAGCTCCTCAGTATTGTGCGAGTGATGCGGTTGTTTAAGCTCACTCGGTATATCTCGGGATTGAAGATCCTCATTCTCACATTCAAAGCTAGTGCAAAAGAGTTGTTGCTGTTGGTGTTCTTTCTCATGGTCTTCATTGTCCTCTTTGCTGCATTGGTTTTCTATGCCGAGAGGTTTTCGCTCTCCCCCGCCAACGACTTCACTTCCATTCCAATTGGTCTGTGGTGGGCGATCGTTACAATGACCACAGTGGGATATGGAGATATGGCGCCCAAGTCGTATGCTGGTAAGGATTTGGAAAGTTCCTGTATTTAAAGGTAGAGCCTTTTAATAGACCCAGTTCTTAAAGTAATAAACGCACACATTTACGAAAACGCTTTTCTTAAATAGCTCTTTGTATTTACTCCTTAATATATTTACCATGTATTTTAAAAATACTTGAAACCCATATTCAAAGTACGTGCAATGGCAAATAATTTTGCAAAGATGCTCAGGATTTTAAATTGCCTCCTTGTGTGACCACTTTGTATGAACTCCTTCACTTGCAGATAAAATATTTTGGGAAGAGCATTTCCTACGCTTATCGCGCTTTGTGGGAATAAATGAATCATATATATGGAACAATTTAAGCCGCTTAAGTTTCACTCTATGAGAAAGGTCCGCCTTTCTATTGAGTTGCAATTTTGATGCTGTGGAATGGCCTTTTTGACTTTTTGCAAACTGGTGGGCCATCAGATACCAAGAGTTATGTCTTAACATTTTTAGACCGCCTTTAAAGACAAGTTATATGGGTGGCGATAGTTGAATGCCTAAAATTAAATGCGGTAGGAAGATGCAATCACGGTTACCGTTGAGTCTATCACAAAGTTTGGCTAGGATGGACGGTTGAGCATAACATCCAGGCTTCACAATTACCACTTCTACAACAGTTAAATTCATTCCATAAAACCTAAAATATGCTAGAGCTTGGACACAGATGAGGTGGACAGCAGTAGATGAACATCAACCTAAATTAATTCAATTAAAATTAGTGGGAAGTATGAATGCCCAGTAATAAGAATAATATGAATCAATGGATATTTATAAGTGCGTCCATCCAGATATGTCCATCTGTAAAGAGCAGTGCATTGGGTGCATTGCCAAATAATGCTTTAGGCTGTAGGACCTTCTATAACAAGGATATCGCAAATATTATTTTCATCTTCCTAAAGCAGGTGTCTAAATATGGGGTTAGGCGAAATACAAAATTTACAGTCAAAACGCTGTCCAGTAATCCGTTTAGCCTTTTAATTCAGCTGCGCAGCTGCATATTCGAGTAAAACGTTTCGCTCATCATAGACATAGTAGAGGAGCACTGCTTACGTCTAAACGTTAATTTTACCTGCTTTTATGCAAGCAATTTTCCTACTGTTTGCGTTTATTACCTTTTTGCCTAGCATTGAGATCAACGACCATTATCAGAACGGCGTCTCTCCGCTACCTTAAAAGGGATTAAATACAACGGCTAATTACGCATCTTTAAGCCAATTTAGAAGTGTTTGTTTTCAGAAAATAAAGCCTGCGCTTAAGCTTTTAGACAATTTACCTGTTAAATTTTTCTGAGCAATAGCATTTTCATTTGAGTCTACTGTTTCATATTCTCTTCATAGAGGTGCTATTATAAGCGAGACATTTATTTACCAAATTTTAGGTGCTTACGCAATGTAAAACTTTTTAACTTTTGGAATGCAAAAAGGTAAATTTGGTTTGTTCTTCAAGGCTTCTCATTGTACATCTATTCCCTACCAACGTGACACGTATGAGAGATGACCTTTACATCAGTTTTCGATACCTGGCTGAGGTAACCTGTGTCATACTAGCGAACCGTTGGAGGATGCGACAATAAAGAAGTGGGAGAATATTCTAGGTGTTATAGTAATTCTAGTACTGCGGTTCTAGCAACTCAGGCCTTGGAAGATGCAACAGTCGATTTTCTTAGGGTAATCACACGGCCAACGCCTGAACGCTAGCAAGGCAATTTAAAACTTTAGGCATTTTTACAGCCGCTTTGATCAACCTCGTGTCAAATGTTTATATAAAAATATTGTAACAAGAATGATTGCAAAAATTTTAACGGTGTTATAAAACTATGGCGGTATGTAGCAGTAGGAAAGTGAATGGGAGGGAAGATGAATTGTAGTGCACCCACTGGTGCCGCAGAATTATAATGAGAGGGAAAAATTGATATTAGCAACCAGCATTTAGTCCATACTCACCACCGCAATGTTAATAAAATTTTGAAACAATACAGATCCTGCAGAATGAAGCGTGTATTATTGCAAGAACAGTCCAAAAATGCAAAATTTGAGGTGAGAAGGAGTCATGTGAGGGAAGAGTGTGGATGGTGAGGGGACCATAAGAAAGAGATGCAATGTGTCAAAGAAATTAATTTGGCTTTTGGTCGGAAAGTGGGCAAAACCCCTCATTTGGAAGCTTGCTCAGATATGCCTGATTTGGCAGTGATAAGCATAAATTCTGACCCCAAAGTGGAGTTCATTCAGCAACTTTTGAAACATTCGAGCAATTGTGCCTTACCATAATCCAAAAAATTTAATGAGTACATTTGGCATTCATTCCATTTTGCTATAAACTGTAATTTTTTTAGTAAAAAGTGGCTATGAAGACCTCAAATTAAGTGTTGTTGTAATATTGGTACCAACCTATAAAGATAGCTGTTTCATATAGTAAATAAAGTGAAATGCTATTGTTTAACGGAATATGTGATGAATGATAAATAAGCTTTGCAGAAGATATTCACAAACACAT